CCATTCCAAGAATAGTGGAGTGCCAATGGCTCTGCCTTTTGAAAGTGAAAGTAAAAATGACGGTGGCAATTTGTTTGGTTGACCTTTATTTTCTTAACTTTGAACAGGCTTACCTGGCATATGGAGTCCCAAGAAGTGACTTGAAGCTCTTTTCTTTGATGCAAAAGGTTTGATTTCTGGCATTGAATGCTCCCTTTACTTTGATGATTTATTACAAAAAGGTTTTCATTAAGATTTAAGACTATAAAGTGCTCAGTTAGCGAAATATTTGCCAAACAGTTTGTGTCACTTCACACTGCTTGGCTGTCAACAAAGACTGTTAGAATTTCCCATATTTACCTTCACCTACTCCACTACACACCTTAGGCGTAGCTTGAAGAACACCCCCTTGTAAAAATTCAGAAAATACTGTTAGTTACATCACCATGGAGCTCAAAAATAGCAATGTACCAAAATTGGTGGCTACAAACTACCTTGATTCAGAGCACGAACATTGTTTCGCTCCATGTTCAACTTTGAAACATTAAATACAGCTGTAGCTGTGGGAATTATTCTCATCACAAAAATAGGAGATTCAACCACCTTCAAATCTGCAGTAGCAATGAGAAATTTCCTTTCAGTTGCAACACAGGAATAAGAATACGGATAAGTGGCCTGTAAGCAAAATTTTCAACTCTTACATCACAATAAAAGCTACATAGTTTGATGTTGATATTACAAAAAGGTTTTCATTAAGATTTAAGACTATAAAGTGCTCAGTTAGCGAAATATTTGCCAAACAGTTTGTGTCACTTCACACTGCTTGGCTGTCAACAAAGACTTTGTTGATGTGCCTGTGAGGATTACTGCTCTGTTCTTTTAAAGCCATGGAGAAGTTATGCCTATGACATGTGGAACTTTTATGAATCGTGTTGTGACTTCTGTGGTCTCCTTTAAACCAGTGGGTTTTGGAGATTCTGTGAAGGCAGAAGTGGTTGCCGCTCATAAAGGTTTGCCTAAAACATTTTAATAGGTTGGAGTACCATGACAAAGTGGCATCTTTGGCCCTTGCAGACATGGTCGTACAATTGTTAACTTCAAATATTTCTCACTCCATTATAGATGGATTAAGATAATATTTGTAAGTGTCAACTAATCAACAAAAAATAGAGAACTATTGGCAAAATGAAAGAAATGTTGTCTCACTTCTTTTCTATACTGATTGAAATTGCGTTGCTGTGTTAGAACATAGTTTTACACAGATTAAGCAAGGAAACTTTGAAACCTTGACAACTTTCTTACCACCCTAGGATTTAAATTTTAAGGCGGATATTTTTGCTACAGGAAGCCCACTGGCCTCTATTAAGCTCAATTGAAGATTTTGTGATTTTAGGGTTATTGCAACATCCCAGCTCTACTATCTTTTATTATATGTTATATCTTATAATCTCTTATATAAAAAAATGATTAATTATGTGTCATTCTTGCTTTAATTGTGTTTCTGAGATTAGTAGTGTATAAGGTTACTTTTATTGGTAAGCAAGGAAATCCTTGAAACCTTAATATGTAGATTTTGGAAGCTAAATAAATTGCTTAATGAGCTTTGATAAAAATTTATAATTAATGTCTTTAATTAACTTAAAACTTGTTTTCAGTTAAGTGTGATTATAGTGTGGTTAATTAACCTAACCTATGTTGTGATTGGTTATGTTATGGGTTTGGTGAAAAGGTAGTTGGAATCCTTATATACAAGTTAATCTAATCTAGTCGGAAACCCTAGTGCATATTGATTAGATTAAGTTAATCTTAACTATCCTAATTATGATGATTAAGTGATTTGATCTCGTCTTAACCCTTGGTTATTGGTCTAAACCCTAATTATGGTTAACCAATTTGTATTTAGGAAAGATTACTCAAGGAAAACAGGTTCACATGTTGTTTGTCTATTGTTGAGGATAGACAAACAAGGTATAAGGATGCATTAAAATAAGTTAAATTGAGCCTGAGTTGGGATTAATTAAATCTAAGTGTGGTGATTAGGCATAATTGAGGATTTATATGTGTTGACATATCACAAACCTTACAATGGTATGAGAGAAATATGTTATGAAACCCTTGGTTTAGGGTCATTTTGGGTGGAGTGGTTACGTCTGTTATAATTTAGATGTACTTGTGGTATGGTTAAGCCTTAGGTGAAATGATGACCTTAGAATTCTGGGTAGATTCTTAGGTATGTGAACTTGTAGTGTATAATTTGTGTTTATTCTATGTCCTATTTATACGAGTTTAGTATAGGCGATAAGTGTAAAATATTTACTTTCTTTGTCCCTAGTTGGGACATGAGGAGAAGCAATGTAATAAGTTTATAATATACTTGTGTCGTTTTGGGTTGAGATGTGAATTTTGATTCAAGCTGTGATCTGATTATGGTTACACAATATTGATCGCTTACAAGTTAATTAGTTACGCTTCCACTAAACAAATTGTCACTATTAAGCAAGTATTCAACTCATTTGGTTCCATAAGAGGCCTTGTGGCTGGTCATATGTACAACTCCCAAAAGTGTGGGGTTGGAGATATGACAGGGTGGTATTTAGAGCATTAGGTTATGAAGCCCTAGATTTAGGGTCATTATCTGTTGGTGTTAATACGAATCTGCCATCTCTTCCTGTCAAGTTGGTGAAGACTTGTGAGGAACATGTTTCAAATTCTTGAGTCAATCTTTTTAAGAGATCAATGAACATATTTTTTATTTGTATGAGAATACTCTAGATTTTGCACTGATATTAACCATGGTGTTTTTTTTTTCTCTAAAAAACATCACAAGAATTGGTATACACAATTACTAAATATGTATGCATATTAAATCTTTAATTAGTGATTGTCTTACAGGCAGCATACACTGTTGGGGGGCATTCTTTCAGTGCAGCTGCTATTGAGTATGTTATGTTGAAGATGAAACCACCAGCACATAGGCCACAAATTGTATGAACTTGGATTCTGCTGCTGAATAAATTTATTTATTTATTTGCTAGTTCAATTTCATTAATTTTATCAGCTAATTAAAAATTCCGACTCTGGCGTATTATTAGGCTTTACTTCTTGCTCTTCACAAGCTAAAGGTTGGCTACTGTGCGGAAGTCTGCTGTTGATTCATTTGAACCACTTGTGGCTTTTGCTCTCAGCTGTGGAATGTACTCATCACCTGCGGTAAATTTTAATTTTTCTTCTCAGCAATATATAAATGTACGAGGTTGGTTGTCTTTTCTTTTGTGAGTAATGTGTATGTAAGTGAAGTAGTAAATGGTTAATTGCAGATACGGATTTATACAGCTAATAATGTGAGGGAAGAGCTGCAAGAAGCTCAGCGTGATTTTGTTCGAGCTTCAGTTGGGGTAAGCAGCAAAGGAAGGCTATTGGTACCCAAAATGCTACACTGCTTTGCCAAAGGCTTTATAGATGATGCAAGCTTGGCTGTATGGATATCGCATTACCTTCCACCTCATCAGGCTGCCTTTGTTGAACAATGCATATCAAAGAGGCGGCAAAGCCTCCTTAGTTCTCGCAATTGTGGTATTCTTCCCTTCGATTCCCACTTTCGTTATCTGTTTCTACCAGAACAGATTTAACCATGATAGCCTGCCTGCCTGCCTGCTTACGCCATTGTTGGGCAACTCATCTCATCATGTCAAAAGATTAGGGAATGGTTTTGAGCTGCTTCTGCCTCTACTTCTAGTGGATGAATATTAACAAGGAGCTGGCAGTTTTGGTAAAATTAGAATTTTTTGTTGTTTGGCTCTGTATGTATATTGGACTGAGAAGCAAATAATATTCTAGCTGATGATAAATATGCATCAGTTTAATTTCTTCCACTGCTTTGCTTAGCTGCCTTGTCCTCCAGCAAGGTTTGAACTGCAGTTGGGGAAGAAGCTATTGTGAGCGGTTGATGCACCGAGGAGCAATATAATTAACGTGCCTGGAGGAACCTTAATAAAGGGGATTATGTTTGGGGTCTGTCTTATCTTTGCTCTCTATTTCACTTGTTTGTTCCTCATGAATAGGAATTTGATGGGATTCAAACCCAAGTTACATCTATCTATCTGGATCAAACTACAGAACTAAGGTGGCGTGCTTGTGTGCCCAACAATAAATCTTTCTTGAAAAATATGATTCACTTGATTTCAAACGAAGGAATCTTGAGGTTAAACTTCGCAGAAAAATGGATTGAACCACAATTTTGGCAAGACCCACATTTGTTGTAAATTCATTTCATTTTGACTTTCATCTATCAATAGCATCTAGTTTGTCTTGATTGATCAAACGGTTAATCACCTTCTCAAAATTCTAGCGTTTGCATACCCAACGAAGTTATTTCTTAGTTGGATTGAGCATGTGGATTTGTGAAAGAAGTTTCCTTTGTGAATCAGACAAGATAGAAAACTGCTAAACCTTCCTAAAGTAGTCTGCGGACACAAGTAAGCTCCCACCAAGAAGGATGTCCAGTTTCTACACGCAAAAGAATAATTTGAACTACATTTCGAAAAACACAAAGCCATCTAAAAGGCTTTCATCTGTTTTAACAGTTCCCTTCAAAATTAAAAGGAATATTTATGATCCTGTTATATCGCATTAGGATATATTTTTTTAAATGTCTTGTCATTTAGGAATGATTGCGTGATTTTTTTTTTAAATTTTTTAATAACAAAATAACTCCAACCAGTCCACCACCTTATTATACAAGTCATTATGAATAAACTTGGGATATATACAATCATGCACAAGTCGCTTTTATGCATACCATTTGAAGTTTCAATATTTTTATATTTAGAGAAAGTCAAACATGAAACTTTAAAAACTTATTTAAAGTGATTATTTTAAATCTCTTTTGTCACTGGTGCATGATATAATTTAATCATATTTTGACTCCCCACATGAGAATGATTTAACGTTTTTATAATTTTTTTCTTTTACCCACCTCCCAAAAAAAGAAGAAAAAAAGAAAAAGAATGACAAGTTTTATATGTACATATTTGTAAGTGAAAATTTGATCATTACTTCTCCTTCAAATTCTCATGACTTCACCCTCACATCCTTTCCCAAATGTAGAATACAATAAACACTAACGAAGATGCTAAAATTTAGATAACAAATTAAAATAGGAGTTAAGGTCCATCATCACCATCGCCGATCAAATTACAAATATCAGAACACTCTACCAGACTGCATAAAACAAAATTTCCATCATCAAAATTAAGTTCAACTCAAACAATATTTATTAAAGGGATCATGATGTTTGGCAAATTGATTTACGCATGGGCTCTGGTTCTGCCACTTATGGAATTTCTAAAAATAAAAAATAAAAATTGGGAGAATTTCTATGAATATTTATGTGATGTCGAATTAGAAGAGTCCAACATGCTACAAATATTTATATGATCTAGGAAATGAGTTCAGAGAACTTGTGAGAAACTTTTATAATATGTGTAATCAGCGGCGGAATCAGGAAATTAAATTAGAAGGGACACTTATTAATTATAATTATAATTTTTTTTCTATAACTAATAATAAGAAGATAATAATAATTTTTGAATTAATATTAAGAACAAAAACTTAAATAAATTATTACAAAAGTATTTCACATAAAATTTTACAATTAATTTCGAGTAAAATCGAAAATAAAGTATTTCATGTAACTAGTGTATTATGGACAATGTAAAAAAGTCATATATTTAAGTCGTAAAATAAATTATATAATGGTAAAATAAATCAATTTTTTACAAAATTTGAATAAAAATTTCATATAATAGTGATATTGCGTCATTATTAACATATGATATCACCAACCAATAGTAAAGCAACATATGAAGGGTGAACTCCACATGTAAATATAACTAACACTTTAGTAATTTTTACATATATATAATGAGATTAATTATATTTAGATATCAATAATGATGGATATTACTTTTATATTGAGATTTTTTCACAAAATTTTTTTACATAAAAATATAATTTGTTGCAGTCACTTCATTTTTAATAAAACAATCAATATTATTTTCATAAATTTAAAAATATCCTTGACATTTTATTCTAATTATTATTTTTATTTATATATATATGTAAAAAAAAATAAAATCCACGAGAGTAAATGACCCCCAGTGTCACCATGTGGTTCCGCCACAGTGTAATGTTTTGTGCAACCTTTATTATTATTATTATTATTTGATTGGACAGAATAAGGTTTATTAAAGTAAAACAAAGTATAAGACGTGTAGATAGATAACATCAAACAAGAAGGCAAGGCAAAACTAGCATCATTCTTGCAAAGCATATCCAACTAGGCTGATACATGCACTAAAAGCCATTACACCAGAAAAAAAGGAAAACGAAAATTTGAATCCCCAAGAAGAGCAAGGATCGCCTAAATTCTAATAGATGAAACATCTAGAATTATTAAAAAAGGTAAACTACAAACGGATCTTAATAATTAGGTTTAATTCTTATCAAGTTCTATTGAAAATAAAATCTGAATAAAATCGTCGTTAAAAATAATTTTTTGTGACTTTTTTGCATATGTCACTAAAAGTTGACAATTAGTGACTTTTTTATCACGGTTTTTATAAATTGTCATTGAAACTTACAGTTAGTGACGTTTTTTTGAGACGAATTTTTCAATCATTGAAAATTGAAAATTAGCGACTTTTTTTGTAATGATTTTTTTAAACTGTCACTAAAATTTATAATTAACGACATTTTTTATAACAAAATTTACAAACTATCGTTGAAAATTAATAGTTAGTGACGATTTTTAATAGTATTTAATAATACCATTAATTATCATAAAATTTAGTGAATAATAAGTTCACTTATTAAAACTTATGCATTAGTACCCTAATCAAAACCATGCCTATGGAAGACCAGTTCTTTGCTGTTTAATCAAAACAATGCCAAGGTAATTCCTAAGGAAGTTTAGGTTAGAGTTCTTTCTTTTTTGCTTATTCTCTTTCATATCAACTCAAAAATACTATTAGGTAAATTACACTGACACTTCCGAAATTTTTGTTTAATATAGATGTCCCCTTCATATTTAAAAAATTACATTTCCTCTCTGAAATTTGTAATCTCATTATAAATTACCTTCTAAATTGTTGATGTCATATTCTAAAATTTTCTAAATGACAATCTTACCCTTTTTCCTACCATTTTTTTCTTTATATTATCATGACTATATTCTATAACTTTCTATCATTAAATTCTACCTAAACATATTCTTATTGAGTGATGATATACATATATAAATTTTTTTATAGAATTTTCAAACACAATAATATAGCTTAATGGTGATCTTTCACTTTAAAACAAAACACACATAAATATAATTTATATTTACAACAATATCACTATCATAACAATTTTATGACATTTTTTGTATAAATTTTTATACATGAATAAAATTTTTCATTTTTATTTCCACAATTATATCTAGATTAGATCAATTTAATCTAGATATATTTAAAAAGTATAAAATTTGTATAAAAAATTTTACAAAAATTCATTGAATACAACAAAATAAGATAATGTATTGAATCTTTGTATTTTTTTGTATTTGGTGAATTTAAAAAAAAATCACAAAATATTATGCTCCTTAAGTATATCTAGATTTGGTATATCTAAAAAATAAAAATTGCTTAAAATATTAAAAAATTCAGTAAACCAAACCAAACTAAAGAAGATGATTGTTATTTCCCTTGAAATAACATGAACAAAATATCTTTATTATTTTATTATTTTATATGTAAAAAGGCTAAAGGGTAAATATGTCATTCTAATCTGATAAGGGGGCAAGTGTAATTTTTCAAATATGAGTAGAGGATCTGTATTAAACAGAAATCTCAATGGGTGTCAGTTTAATTTACCCAACACTATTTATTGAATTACTGCTCACAACCCTAGATTAAATCAAGGCAATTACACTTTTTACTCCTATAGGTTGATTCAAATTTCACTTTGATATCTATTATTTTAATTTGAAAAATTTGATCCATGCACTTTAAATTCAGTTTCAATTTAGTCTTTACATTCAAATTGGACGTTAAAAGTAGTAATTTTGTGATAAATGTTAGGGGTTGTTTGGGGTGTCATAAATAAGTGTACTTTTTGACTTTTTGGACTAAAAAGTTGAGGAAACAAATATAGTTGTTTAGGATAACTTTTTGTCTTTTTACAAAAAAATGTGTATTAAAATATTGGATAAAATGACAAAATTACATTTTTACCCCTACATTGTAGACTCATCAGTGACAGGCGGCATGAGGGTAGTACGGCTTGGTTGAAATGGTCCATGAGGCTTCACGGGTACTGTTGGGCCGTGGGGGCTCACCATGAGTCCCGTTTCGATAATCCAAACGTTGAATGTGTAGAACTCGTTGAGTACTATATGCTTATGAAAAATCATTTAATCGGATGTCGATAGCTATGTGATCAAAACAGTTTTGTATGAAATTAATGGACAGTGAAAAATAAACGGTTAAAAAAATCTGATTTGATCACATAGCTATCCATATTCGATCAACGTGATTTTTTATAGGCATATAGTACTCGACGAGTTCTACACATTGAACGGTTTGGATTATCAAAACGGAACCTGTGGTGGACCCCCACGGGCCCAACATTACCCTCTAATTTAATGAATATATATATCTAATTTTCTTTTTTGTTCCTTTGACAGACCAATACGTACTTACGAACAATCAATTCAGTACCAACACTGTCAACTTGCTGGTTTGTATTAAAATATAGTGTAAATTAATTTTTTTATATTTTTAATTTGTGAAAAATGATAATTTTTTAACTTTTTTAGTAACTTTTTGGCTTTTTGAATTTTTTCTAATATGCCAAACCAGGCCTTAGTCTCTTCAAGTATACACATGAAAAAAATTGACGGTAATTTGGACCAAAGGACCAAATTGAAATTGAGCTTAATTGTTAAAATTGAAATAATAAGAATCAAAGTGAAATTTGAGTCAAATTATAAGAGTGACAAGTATAATTTATCCAAAAATGAACCTTTTCAAACTCCAGAGGTTTATATCATAAAGAATCACTTCTAAAGCCTTGAATTTAACCATTTAAATCCAAAATTGCAGGCAATCCAAACCTCCCTAAAAATCCTGCAAACTTGCCCTCTTGGAAATCAAACCAAATCTCACACATACATTTCCAAACCCTAGAAGCTTTTCATAGCCAAAAACCACCACAGATCTAATTGTCGGCAGCATCAGGACATGTTTCCTATAGACATCGTCCTACGTCAGAACTATTAATTCCTTCACCTCTTATAGCTAAGCATTATTAGTGTGGATTAGTCGAGTACTATATGCAGCTCACTAGCTGACTTTTGATTAACACGATCAAAAAAAATTCCTAGTTGAAGGTATCCCAAAGACACTGAAGCTATTAAGTACAACAACATTTATGTGCTGAAGTGTATGCTTAAAGTGTTCAAGTAAAACTCTCAATTGATTTGAATGCTCTGCCCACAGTATCCTATATTTCTCCATTTTCACCACTATTCATGTTAATATAGTCTCATATCTAGCTTTAAAAAAAAAAATAATGTTAAGAAGGATATTAAAGAGAGAGCTTAAAGTGGCGACCAGGTTTTTTGTTTTTGTTTTTTGGGTCAGTGAGAAGACTGTAATGGTGATATTTAAATTATTCATATGTTATTCACAATAGAAAAGAAATGATAAGATAGCCTTGAAGTGAATAAAACATTTTTAGAAAAAAAATGTTAGTGGTGATGATGATGCTAGTAATAATTACGTTGGAAAAACTATATACCAGTATTGACGACTTCGGAACCCCTGCTTGAAAACCACTAGAGGTCTGCAGATACGAGAAGATAAAATAATCAGATTACTTGCTTGACAGAAAAAAAGTTAAAGAAGATCTAGTCCTCCTCTTTCTTTTCTTTCCTTATCTTCTATGTGCCATATACACATGTTTATCTGTTTGACACCAAAAGAAACATTCTTAACATGCCATATATCATGAGACACAATAGAATAGTGGCTACTGTGATGCACATATACGTAAATTGACATTGATCGAGGAGTTAGCAAAATACTAGCCAGGTCCAAATATGTTTAAATTCACACACCATAAAATATATTGAATTATGAAAATGCAGACCAATAGGGAGAGACTTAATATGGCTTAACAATATAGAGAATTCTGTCTTGTAAAGATTTCTTATAAGACTAGTATTAGATTATGTCTTAATTTAATACCAAATTGGACAGAGTTTACACAAAATATATAGAATATGTGCCATCAATTCTTCTTGTAATTATTTAAGAAATGGTCCAGATGTGTGTGTGTGAGTGTTTTTTTTACCAGAAACACACTGCCACATCTCAATTAGTGTTGGAAGGCAGGCACGCAGGCAGGCATGTGTTAGCGATGATGGAGAATTTGTATGTATGTATGTATTTATGTATGTATGCATCGGTACCTTCTGACGTTAAGAGGGCCTTCACCAGGGGAGCCAACCCCCCCTCGGATGCAAGTGGTGACGCACTTGATGGTGCAGGACTCCGCTTTCCTTGACTTGGGTCGTTGAATCTTAGCCTTCTTGCAGTCCTGCGGAGAAGAAGAGCAATCCCCTGATAGCATCTGCGGTATGTCTGATAGAGTCTCCGCTGCTTGTATTTGTTCAACTGCATTTGTATTTGTACCGCCCACCACCACCCAAAACATTATTGCTACTGCTGCAGCTGCACCTGTTGCTGTTGTTACCAAACCAATTTTAACCCGGCTGCTGCCGCTGCTGCTGACGGCTCTCGTAAAGCACCTGGGCCTTATTCTTCCGCCTCCGCCACTACCCATAATTATGTTGCTGTTGTTGTTCATGCCGCTGCCGTTTACTCCTCCTACTCTTATTCTTGCTCCTACTCCTACTTGATTTTGATTTTGATTTTGTTGTGGGTATACTACTGAGCATCCATACTTGCAAAGATTTGAAGTTGCCCGGTAAACTAACATTCTCTCCTCCCGATCTGGTGCAATGTCAGTCACGAAGCGTTTGTTACTACTACAACTACTATTATTATTATCAAAATTTAAATCGTATTGGAGGTGGAGGTGGACATCCGGTCTTAGATGCTACCAGGAAACACCTGAGATCAGATTTCACTCATCTCTTATCCGAAAAAATATCATAATGGTAAGATCCAAGAGTTCACTTATGATACTTGGGCAGGTTTGGTCGGCTTAGGAGGTTGTCCAAATCCAGTTCAAGTTGTGCTAGGCTCGAATTATAACCCGAAGTTGCTTGCTCAAGCCAAACCCGAGTTAAATCCGAATTATTTGAATTGTCTGAATTGTAAATGAATTTCAGTTTTATTTATTTATTTATTTATTCATGTTTATTTTTTTACTGTTACATTATTAAATTATTAAAATTAGACTCTATTTACAATTTTTTTTAAATTATTTTTTATATAAAAATTCATTAATACTATCAAAACAAATAATTTATATAATGTAAGAGAAATGCCGCTATAATAGTCTTTACAATTTATGAGTGAATAAAAAAAAGTAAGATTTTATGTTATTTATATATATAATATATATTCAACATGATTTAATAATCTAAATTACTTTAATATCATGTAATGACTAATAATTTATATGTATATTTAATATTTTTATATGTATAATTCGGGTTTCGGGTTGATCGGGTTATTTGATGTCTTTGCTTAAGCCCATCCAAATGTAATTCGAACTTTTGAATTTTTGTCTAAACCCATACCGAATTAGAAAATATCTTGTCCCAATCCTAAAAAAATTCAGGCTGAATTCAAGTTACTCTGATTGAGCCCGTCCAAATCGCACCCTACCAGTGACTCTATCAAAATGTAATTATCTCTATAAGACTACAAATAAATACATGTTTCTTATATTTAATATCGTTAGTTTGATATGTATTTATATTAATTTTGTCATTTATGCAAGTAGTTTACTCTTCTTCAAATTACTTGAGGCCAATCAATTTTTTAATCCAATATTACGCATTTTATAATGCGATTGTAGATATTATGGCCGTCATTTTTTTTTTTTCTCCTTAACCTTTGTTTGGCAAGATGATGTAAGTTTTAGATGAGATTGTGAGTAAATTATACTTTACACCCATTATTTTATTAAATTCTACTTTAGTCTGTCATTTTTCAATTGTAACAATTAATTCTTTACATTTTAAATCAAATTTCAATTTGTTCATTCCGTTAGTCGGGTGTTGAATTTGCTGACAATAATTGAAGCTAAATTATACTTAACATTTTGCACTTTACATGAAATCTCAATTTAGGTCTCAATTTTTTATTTACAACAGTCAATCTACTATTCTTTTGATCAATTTGTAAAAACTTAATTTTCTTATCTTTTTAAGTTCTCAATTTTTTCAATGTTTAAACCCATCTCCATCGACCACCCTCTCTTGCTACTTCTTATCATTTTCTTCCAATCTACACCCTTTCCCCACTATCACTGGCCACTTCTCACTTTTTTTTGACCACCTTCATCCCTTTTCCATTGGTTGCCCACAATCACCCATCACCACCCCTACCTTTCACCTTTGGTGTCACGATTCTCTTCCGCCCCAATTGAAATAGTGTTGTGACTGGCTAATAGTCCTTCATTGCCAAAAGTGTACACTAGTGATAATTGGAGTAGAATTATCGAAAGCAATACAATTATTCACTTATAGATCCATTCAAAACAGGTGTATAAGAACAAAAGATGAATCGTGCATTTTCTTCTTTTAACTTATCAAAATATCTCAAAAAGTACATAGTATTGCAAAGTGTACATGACCTTACAAAGAGCACAAAACATAAATACAGAATCTATTTTATTTTAAAAAGTTGTATATTTCCAAAACTCCTTCAAAACACAACTTCCAAACTATATTACATATGGATAAATCTTATACAAAACAAAGCCTTTTTTAATTTTGTTCTTCGTCACCTATATACATGTAAGAGGAGAGGAGTGCACTATAACCTAACGAATAATATTATATAGCAAAGCGATAAGATTAACCTGGTGCACACAAGATTTACAGACTGACGGAGACAAATATTATCTTAGAAAAAGCAATGTTGTAACGCATCTTGAAATAATCTGTCGTCCTCTTCCATACAGAATATCTTTAACAGGGTAGTAATATGTCATCTTATTTCTCCATTACAGAACATCTGTACTAACAGGATGCAAGGAGTGGATAAGTATTGCAACCATTTGGTTAGTCCCTCGTAATCTGGGATAACTTGTATGTGATTTTTTTTTTAACATTGATTTTCCCAAGGTGAGCACTATAAGCAGCAATGAAGCAGTAAAATTTTATTAGACCTGAAGAGAATGAAATAAAATTAAATAAATTGATCCCCCCCACATCATTTACATATCCTTGAAGACAACAGGGAGGACCGCATTGTGCGATCCTCCCACATCATTTACATATCCTGGAAGACAACAGGGTTGATAGACTGAGGAAATATCAAGTGTTCTTCTCTAAAACCGACAGGGCTGGTGTCAAATAGTTATTTGCTTTGTCAGGTAAGTGTGCTACCTGCATGGATGATACAGAAGATAGATAGAGTTTAAACGCAAGACTCAACAAGCCCAGAGAAAATTCTCAACCAAAGATTAGAGTTTCTCTACATACAAAAGGTAATAATTGATGTCCCTTACCAGCTCATATAGCTCCTTCCCTGGCTCTGCCACGTATTCGTAACATACCTGCTCAGAAACCAGTATACCTTAGCTCCATGCAATTAAAATTGACCTTCTACCAAATATATAATGTTACCCACATCGAAGCTCTTGTTCCTTGCAGTTGAATCGTGCAATGCCTTCACACATATATCAGCCACATCGGCACAGCTGATGCCCTGTATTGATCGATGGTTGTGGGCTCAGTGGTTAGTTCAGTAATGCCCTATTCATCCAATGGGAATATCTTATAATTCTCACCTGAGAAATCCTGTTTCCTTGATCAAAAATGAGGGCACGTTGCCCACCAGGTTCTTCCTGAAAGAAACCATCGTCATTGTATCAGTTTTGCTGTGGAAAACCACCACAAAGCACTCATGAGAAATCTATGTTACCTAGAGCATGGATCGTTCCGGTACATGGAACGGGAACGGGATACACCACATGCTCTAAAATGTGGAACAATAGGAGTAGATTTATATATTTTACATTTAAGAATTTAAGGCACTTCTAGATTAATTTCCTTTTAACTATTAGGTATCCAATAATTTTTTTATTATATATTTTTTTTCATGTAGCAAATTATTTCTATGAAAACTATGACCCATTTTTGATGTTTATGTCTTGTCAAAACTTAATTTACCTTAGATTTTAGTTCATATATTTGATTTATTTGATTTTTTTTTCTCCTAAGGTAACATTTAAATAAATATATTGGAAAGAATTTTTCGGATCGCATCGGATCACTAAATTTACCGTTTTGGAACGAAAGTGTACCATGTTTCGAAACATGTGTACCAAAACATAATTCGTTGGGGTATTAGGGTTTTCTAGTAACATAGTTTCAAATCAGGTCTATTTTTTGTGTTCAGCTACGGTTCTTAACTAACCCTTTTTTAATAGGGCAAATTATATAAATACCCATGAGGTTTATGAAAATACATTTGACTTGCTCAAGTTTGAAAAATGCATCACGCACCCTGATATTTTATCCCCCTGCGTTGGTCAACCATTAGGTCAACTAACTGATTTGGCTGATGTCAGCAATTTTATTTTTTGATAAAATGTCCATTTACTCTGAATATACCATCTCCTTTTCTCTTTCTCTGCAAAATCCCAAATTAATACAAACCTCAAATCAATATCTTTCTCTCTGTAACACCTTAGGTGTCATATCTCTCATTTTAATACTTGGAATGCCTAGAGTTAAATTTGCTTTCTTTGATATATGAAACACTTGAATGCATGGCTTAAAGGTATCTGTTATTTGAATAAAATACACTTGTATGCTTTGCTAAGTTATATTTATAGCCTTTGTTTCTTATGTCTCTTTGGAAGGAAATTTAGATATATGAATTTGAAAGATGTTCCTTTCCATATGATATGTTTATACATGTTTATATCTTTCTAATCAAGGTGCTTAATAGCCTTAATCTAATTCACTTGACATTCTCATAATGTATAATTTGAAAACTTAATTGGTATTAGTGATAACTAAATGTGATTACAGGTTTAATTTTTTTCTTTTTATAAATAAAGATTTATTAAGAAAGCATCAAGGAGATGCCAAAAGAATACAAAACCAACCCCTCAAACAGGGACCTAACCAACTAAATCATCAACAAAGTCTAAAACATCAAATAAATTAGGATCCACTCTTCCCGACACCCAACTGTACAAAACACCACAAATCCGAGACTCTAACTAAACAATAGACTAAGCACTCCCCTGAGAAACCAGACAATTCCCCATATCACTGATCCTTCCAAAACCGCACACCCACCTCCTTGGTACACCATTCACCTCTCCCTAACCCATACTTAGATGCCACCACCCTCCGCCATAAGTGATCTCGTTCATTGGAAAACCTCCACAACCACTTCCCCAACAAAGCCAAATTAAACTTACACAACCTCCTCACCCCCAATCCCCCATCCTTCTTAGGACAACAAATCTGCTCCCAATTAAGGAGATGATACCGATCCCTACCATCACTTCCCCACAGAAAATCCTGCTGCAACTTCTCCAAGCGGCGAGCCACTGACACAGGAATGAAATGGACTGATATAAAATAAGTCGTAATACTATTCAATACACTTTTCACTAAAGTTAGCTTTCCACCTTTAGACAAATATTGCCTCTTCCACCAAAATTGAAAGATGGCTGACCTCCCCTACCGGAATTAATTCCAACTTGGCCCAATTCACCTTCAAACCCGAGAACGCCTAAAAACATAGCAAAACACAGCGTCAATGCCCTATTTGCTCTGAATTAGCCCCATAGAAAATCAAAGCATCATCAGCATACAAAAGATGAGAAACACGAACCCCATCTCCCATTGAAAAACCTGCTAACAAACCGCCTTGTACCGCCTGAGACAACAACTAACTCACTGCCTCCATGACAAGAATGAGCAACAAAGGGGGCAATGGATCTCCTTACCGCAAACCCCGAAACGTCTGGAAGTAATCCGCCGGTGACCCATTCACCAAAACAGACATTCGTGCCGTTGAACTGCAAAACCAAATCCACCTCTGCCACTTTTCCCTAAAACCCATCCACTCCATGACAAACATCAAAAAATCCCAACTGACATTATCATAGGTCTTCTCAATATCCAACTTACAAATCACGCCTGACTGCCCTCCTCGCAAACGAGAATTAACACACTCATTAGCCACTAACACTGCATCCAGAATCTCGCCCGACAAACTGGCACGCCTTTTCATGGCACATCTTTTGATGAATTGGGCACGCCTTTTGATGGCACGCCTTTTGACAAAATTGGGCACACCTTTTGAGGGTGCCACTTTTCCAAGGGTCCGACAAGACTCTATAACCTGTCCCGGCATTTGATACCGGTTAGCTTTTTCATGGGTCCGACACGACTCTGTAAACTGTCCCGACATTGATTCCGGTTAGCTCCTTTATGGGTCCGACAAGACTCTGTAAACTGTCCCGACATTGATTCCGGTTAGTTTCTACAACGGTCCGACATGACCCCATAAACTGTCTTCTACAACGGTCCGACATGACCCCATAAACTGTCTTCTACAAACGGTCCGACATGACCCCATAAACTGTTTTTCTACAACGGTCCGACATGACCCCATAAACTGTCTTCTACAACGGTCCGACATGACTCCATAACCTGTCTTCTACAGCGGTCTGACACCGCCATCCAGTGTCCTCTACACCATTATGACACCACCATACCGTGTCCTCTCCAACGTTATGGCACCACCATTCAGTGTCTTCACCAACGGTCTGACACGACCATACAGTGTCTCCTATCCTTTTTTATTTTTATGTATTTTCTTGTTTTGTTACTCTCTTCAAACTCAAGTTGGTTAGTTTCTATCCTCCTTGAGTTTGCGGGGGGCTGTTAGAATTTACCACTCACCTACTACCTCCACTATCTTTCTCCACACCTACCACCTCCACTATCACACACTCCACTACCATCCACCTCCACTATCACACACTCCACTACCATCCACCTCCACTATCACACACTCCACTACCATCTTCTCCTCTATATATAGGAATTGTAATATACAGAATATAATCAATCTTGTATCAATATATCAATCAATAATACATAAAATTTTACAGCCTTGATTTCTTATGTCTCTTTGGAAGGAAATTTAGATATATGAATTTGAAAGATGTTCCTTTCCATATGATATGTTTATACATGTTTATATCTTTCTAATCAAGGTGCTTAATAGCCTTAATCTAATTCACTTGACATTCTCATAATGTATAATTTGAAAACTTAATTGGTATTAGTGATAACTAAATGTGATTACAGGTTTAATTTTTTTCTTTTTATAAATAAAGATTTATTAAGAAAGCATCAAGGAGATGCCAAAAGAATACAAAACCAACCCCTCAAACAGGGACCTAACCAACTAAATCATCAACAAAGTCTAAAACATCAAATAAATTAGGATCCACTCTTCCCGACACCCAACTGTACAAAACACCACAAATCCGAGACTCTAACTAAACAATAGACTAAGCACTCCCCTGAGAAACCAGACAATTCCCCATATCACTGATCCTTCCAAAACCGCACACCCACCTCCTTGGTACACCATTCACCTCTCCCTAACCCATACTTAGATGCCACCACCCTCCGCCATAAGTGATCTCGTTCATTGGAAAACCTCCACAACCACTTCCCCAACAAAGCCAAATTAAACTTACACAACCTCCTCACCCCCAATCCCCCATCCTTCTTAGGACAACAAATCTGCTCCCAATTAAGGAGATGATACCGATCCCTACCATCACTTCCCCACAGAAAATCCTGCTGCAACTTCTCCAAGCGGCGAGCCACTGACACAGGAATGAAATGGACTGATATAAAATAAGTCGTAATACTATTCAATACACTTTTCACTAAAGTTAGCTTTCCACCTTTAGACAAATATTGCCTCTTCCACCAAAATTGAAAGATGGCTGACCTCCCCTACCGGAATTAATTCCAACTTGGCCCAATTCACCTTCAAACCCGAGAACGCCTAAAAACATAGCAAAACACAGCGTCAATGCCCTATTTGCTCTGAATTAGCCCCATAGAAAATCAAAGCATCATCAGCATACAAAAGATGAGAAACACGAACCCCATCTCCCATTGAAAAACCTGCTAACAAACCGCCTTGTACCGCCTGAGACAACAACTAACTCACTGCCTCCATGACAAGAATGAGCAACAAAGGGGGCAATGGATCTCCTTACCGCAAACCCCGAAACGTCTGGAAGTAATCCGCCGGTGACCCATTCACCAAAACAGACATTCGTGCCGTTGAACTGCAAAACCAAATCCACCTCTGCCACTTTTCCCTAAAACCCATCCACTCCATGACAAACATCAAAAAATCCCAACTGACATTATCATAGGTCTTCTCAATATCCAACTTACAAATCACGCCTGACTGCCCTCCTCGCAAACGAGAATTAACACACTCATTAGCCACTAACACTGCATCCAGAATCTGACGGCCACCCCAAAAGCGTTCTGTGATTCTGACACCACATCCCCCACTTGCAACCGAAGCCTATCGGCCAAAACTTTCACTAAAACCTTGTACACACTTCCCAATAAACTAATCAGCCGAAACTGTCGAATATCCTCAGCCCCTCCCACCTTAGGGATCAAAGCAATAAATATTTACTTATTTATTTTTTGTTAATCGATAGGAGTAATTACAACTATGAGAAATGTTACATCAAACAGACCACTATCCCAACAATAACTAGAAAGTCAAGAAAGCCTAACAACTAATCACCAAGCCCAAGCTCAACCAATCACTACTAGTTACATACAACCCCGTAATAGAGGAGAAATAAACAATACAAAGAATTCAAACTCCTCTCCATTGGAGTTGAAGTTGACCCTGCAACCTCACATGCTACACAACCACTAATTCATAACAAAGACAAATCATTTGGTTATAATACCATACCAACATACCCCTCGTAAATCAAGACTTGCAAAGATCATCACTGATAATGATTGGACAAATGCGGCAGTCAAATCTTTCATTGAATTGAACAATTGTCACAAGATAAACACAACAGAAACTTGATAATTCAATTTCTCAATTTGAGTTACTTCTGAGATCAATCAACACGTTGTCTAATAGATTTACCTTTAGGGGACCGGGGCGAATGATTGTGTACCCAAGGCCTGATCTTCTTAACGAATCTTCCCCAGCCTAAAGAAATCTCAACAACTGAGTCAGTACTGATGCGAGAAAGTCTATGGAAAAGGGGAATAAAAGCAAGAAATGGCTAACCTTCTTGGCCCTCAAAACCTGATCCCTTCGGGTAGGTTCTATTCCTAATCCTGTGCATGAAACTAAGATGAAGTCCGTTTCTTGTCCAGTCTGCAAACCATTGATTATCAAATTTCATTTAAGGATGAGCATAAATATATCAACACGTAATTTCAGAATTGCCGATGTTGAACTGATTATGGCTCTATCAAGAAGGAAACCACGTTTCAAACAGAAATAGTGGGGCTATTTTGGCTCTAATACCAAAATTGATGCAGCACCAAAAGAATAGAAGAAGAAGAAGAAAAAAACTGGGAATCACGATCCCAAATCAATATCCATAATCATACTCTAGTCTCAAATAATGATTACGTATCAATGTACTTATAGGCAGGCAACGAAATTACAGAGCAATCCCATAAGAAAAACAAAATCCTAATGTAAATATAATTCCGTAAATAACTAAAATTCCTACATAAAAGAAAATTATAAATTAAATTAAAACTCCTAAAAAATAAAAATAAAAAAACTTTTTTTACCTCCTTATCCAAACTCCTTTGCATTCCCCATTAAGGTACTATTGTGAACAAGCATAGGTAGATAGAAGACTTAAATAAACAATCCTGATTGAATTCAGTTAGAAAGCAATGATGCCTGGATAAGGTGGATACATCACCAACACGAACAGATATACATGGTTCCAAAAAAAAAAAAAAACTGAACAGTGCAGGAAATGTTGAACTGCCATGGCAAATCAAATGGAAGGCAGTTTATGAAGGTTACAGGAACCCATATACTAGATAAAACAGAACGTATATGATCGTAACTAGTTGGATTTGGATAATCACTAGATTATTAAAGTGTAGTAGGATCTTCCTAGAACCAATGAAGCTGAGACCCATAAAAGTTTAGATTGTGACATGCCTGCTCAGAAAGACAAACAATAGAAAATTAAACAGATAAGAAACAAAATAACAATAGGCCAGAAATATGATCGACACATGCAATTACCTTTTTCACATCAACTACAAGTCTACAATGAAAAGCCCTAGAGCTACAATGACAAGATGTATTTAGCTCACCATGACAGAGTACTGCTTTAGACCTTAAAAGGAAAAATATAGAAGTACTACTCTATTTCATGCTTTAGTATTGGAGGCTCTTTTGTACTGACAAACAGGCAATATGTACAGAACACAGTATTACATATGATGAGCATGATCTATGCTGGAAATTGTGTTCATGTATATAATATGATAGTGGTGTTGGTGGTAGATAGTGGCATGTATAGAATATGATAGTGGTGTTGGTGGTAGATAGTGGCATGTATAGAATATGATAGTGGTGTTGGTGGTAGATAGTGGCATGTATAGAATATGATAGTGGTGTTGGTGGTAGATAGTGGCATGTATAGAATATGATAGTGGTGTTGGTGGTAGATAGTGGCATGTATAGAATATGATAGTGGTGTTGGTGGTAGATAGTGGCATGTATAGAATATGATAGTGGTGTTGGTGGTAGATAGTGGCATGTATAGAATATGATAGTGGTGTTGGTGGTAGATAGTGGCATGTATAGAATATGATAGTGGTGTTGGTGGTAGATAGTGGCATGTATAGAATATGATAGTGGTGTTGGTGGTAGATAGTGGCATGTATAGAATATGATAGTGGTGTTGGTGGTAGATAGTGGCATGTATAGAATATGATAGTGGTGTTGGTGGTAGATAGTGGCATGTATAGAATATGATAGTGGTGTTGGTGGTAGATAGTGGCATGTATAGAATATGATAGTGGTGTTGGTGGTAGATAGTGGCATGTATAGAATATGATAGTGGTGTTGGTGGTAGATAGTGGCATGTATAGAATATGATAGTGGTGTTGGTGGTAGATAGTGGCATGTATAGAATATGATAGTGGTGTTGGTGGTAGATAGTGGCATGTATAGAATATGATAGTGGTGTTGGTGGTAGATAGTGGCATGTATAGAATATGATAGTGGTGTTGGTGGTAGATAGTGGCATGTATAGAATATGATAGTGGTGTTGGTGGTAGATAGTGGCATGTATAGAATATGATAGTGGTGTTGGTGGTAGATAGTGGCATGTATAGAATATGATAGTGGTGTTGGTGGTAGATAGTGGCATGTATAGAATATGATAGTGGTGTTGGTGGTAGATAGTGGCATGTATAGAAAATGATAGTGGTGTTGGTGGTAAATAGTGGCATGGATATAATATGATAGTGGTAGATAGTGGTAATATATAATATGTAAGTGGCATAAAATGGGTTATAATGATGTTTGTAATATCTCCTATATAAGGAGTGTCATTTGGTCTTGTAAAATAAGAAGTTTTGAATATAACACAAATATATTCCTTCTTCCTCATATTTTCGAAGTTCTTCTTC